AGTCAACCTCAGGATTATTTAAAATTTACAATACATACTGATCTTGTAATATCTGTATCTGACCGCTCATACAGTCATAAAATCTTTTGTAAGACAATGCTAGCCAAAGCTCAGGTGCACAGGTCCGCTGTGTGGCTCCACACTTGGCTCTGCTCACTCACAAGCCTTTGGTCAGAATCCATTTAAAACGCACAAACAGGCTGATAATTGTCAACTAAGTTAAATAAGGCACTGAAACAGTCAACCAAAACAGGACACATTTAAAACTTGTTTCAAAGGGAATAAAGTGATGTAGTGTAGGTCCTTGTATCAAGCTGAGTGTAGTTACATTGTAATCGTGGAAAAAAAAAAATCTAATATTAACAATAATAATGATTAGTGTGATCCTACACAGGCACTGCCATGAGAAAGGGTATATCTTCTGTCTCTGTTCTGACAATGAGGAGAAAGTCCTGTGTTCACCACAAAGCATTTTGTTCCTAGGGCACCCTGGACAGGTTGCCAGTCTATCACAGGGCTCATGTGGAAGCCACAGTGCTGATGTAGCTGTTGTGTATCATAACTCCAGTGTTGCATAGTTCTCATTGAGCTATCGAACGACAAACCTAGAAAAATCTGACTGCTTTCTGGCCTTGCAAAATGAATTACTGCTTTCTGACTATTGGCTTTTAGTATCACTGTGTTAACAAAATTAGCTGTTGTGTCTCTGGCTGCAGTAAAGTACAAACATCCTGGGATTCAAGTAGCTGCCAAAATTTTGGCCAGGGTAACATGTTTAAGGCAAGATTAAGTAAAACGTCACTGGACAACAGATTGCACATGCTGGGTTCAGTCTTCACAGGGGTCTGATCCTTTTGACAAATCTATTTGGAACTAGTGTTGAACAGGTCAGTCAATTCATCTTTTGGTTAATCACCAAAAACACTTTAAATATGTATCATAGTTCATTATGTTTTGAAGGTATTTAAAAGTAAATTACCTAAGATTTTGGCCAACAAACACCAAAAGCCAACAGTGAAGGAAGGAGCTCTAGTTACACCCAGCAGTCATAAGTTAGTTCTTAAAAGATCAAAAACAAACATTTCTGCTGCTCTGGTGGAGATGTGCTGCCACCGCCACAATATTGTGACCACTTACTCATATCAGATTTCGTAGTTAAAAGTACGTTTTGTTTGAGTTCCGCAGGCTGAAAGGCTTGTAGTTAAGGTTTTTCAGCCTTGGGAGCAAAGTGAGTGAAAGACCTGTGCAGAGACATGCACTCATTGTGTGTGCAGTCCCAAAAGAAAAAGAAACCAGTGCTTTACCCATTTATATCCTGAACCATACTTGTATAAAAAGGGTGGAGTGGAAGTGGAAGGCTGCAGTTTTACTGTTGTATTCATCCCTCGTCTCCACAGTAATAATTCCTACGTGCACCTGCAGGATGCCCTCAATGACATGATTCCTCTAATTAGGACCTAAAGACGATGGCGGTGGGCATACTGCACTTTCACAGGCTGCTGTCCTGATTGGATGACTCGGAGGTGAGCTTCCTCTGCCGCGGTGATGTGGAGGAGGCCAGTTTGGTTGGGGAGGGGGAGGCATTTGAGGAAGAGTCGCTGCCACCACCTTCAGAGCTGGAGGGCAGAGAGGAGAGGTAAGGAACTGGGGGAGCCCGTTTCCTCCCTAGAAAACCTCCTTCTAGCACTCCCCTCTTCTTCACACCTCCCTCTGCCTTCACCCCTTCTCCCCCAGATCCCACACCCTCTCCCTCCTCAGGTGGATGCACCTTTCGTCTAACATCACCCCCAGGTATCGGGCTGTCTGGAGGTTGCCGTGGAGTTTCTTGACTGCCTTCTGTCTTCGCCCCAGAAACACCAGCCGCAGCAAAAGCTCCGACATTTGCATCAATGGTCCGACAAGCCCAGCGGTCCATAGCAGAGGCCCTCCTCTCACTGTCCTCGGGACCAAAGTCACAGAGTGAACGGCGGGCATCGGGGATCTGGCCAGGGCCCGGGGTGGATATTTGACCTGCACTGTCCAGGAGACCTCGACTCAGGCTGAAGCTCTGAAAGTCTCTGTGGGATGAAAGATGGATGGAGGTCAGTTATAGGTGGATAGATGCATAAATAGACACAATGACAACAACAACAGCTCAGCAATGGAGGTGAATAGAATTTTGCCGTGCCTACAAAATTGAAAAATGGCATTTAAAATTTTGACAGCAATCTGTATTTCCCTGTTACTCTGGATAACCCACAAAAGACGTTCTGACCTGTTCATATAGTGATTATGTTGTTGCTAAAAGTACTCATGCTGTAAACATACAGTACGTCCACTCCTATTATCCATGAACCTGCTGAAAGCAATAACATACATTGGGGACATCAAAAAAATGATGTGCATGGCTCGGTGCCATTAGGGTTGAGTGAAAAAGGTTTTCTGTAATTTGGTGAACAGACACTTTAATGCACAGCGGGACAATGTCATTTCACCGGTAGGTGTGGAAAGACTCAGTTCGTCGAGCGCGGGCCAGCAGGGGGCTCTCTCTGTAGGGTCGCACAGCTCCATAAGTCGCCTGGCTCTCAGGTATGGGCTCCTGGGCCTGCAGCTGCAGACTGAAAGAGAGATGGTTCCTCATTGTAATTAGTAGCCATGAAGCTCAAAGATAAACAGTTCCTTATTTTAGACATGTTTACATTACCCACTGAAGTGACTCAAATCGAGGTTTTTTTCCCCTCCAAGTGACTGTGATCTGATCTTTTTGCTTTTTGTGGATGTGTGAACACGTATCAGAATTTTTACTCTATGTACAGACAGGATAACTATGCCAGGTAGAGTGTTGGAGGCAGCTGTTTGCTTCCCTTTGTGTGTTTGTCTTTAATGTGGTGTGTGTCGACCGTCTCTCTAACCTCGAGCAGGACTCTCGCAGGCGTGTATGGTGCAGCACAGAAGGGGCAGGGCTAATATTTGGTGTAGCACAGCGGGAGGTGCTCAGGTCACACTGGTCTAACAGCTGCAGCAGCTCCTCCTCTGTAGGCCCACCTACATCTGCCATACACAGGGGAAGCTTCAGGATGCACAGTTTTTCATCAAGAGAAACGATTACATTTAATCTTAGAAATGACAGTCTGCTGTATATACTGCTTTACATATAAGATGAGTGACACACTTAAGTATAGCCACACGTCCTTTCTTCCATATACATATGTTCTTCATCTCCTCTCCCATGAATACATAAGTGTTTCCATGCAAACATTTGTCTTCCTCACCTGCTTTCTTCCTCTCCTCTCCTTTGTTAGCAATGTCCATCGCTGTAGTCAGGTCCCACATTTGGATGCTGCCGTTGCCGTGACCAGTGAACAGATAGCGCCGAGGTCGTGACCCCATCCGACTAGAGCCCTCACACTCCCGTACCATGAAGCAAGAGATGGTGGTGCCGTCAACCGACTGCACTTCACAGATCCTGACACACACTCACACACGTTAACATGGAGCATGCAAATGCAAAAACTCAAGAAGCAAGCATCAAAACAGAAGTACCAACAGTTTGAACTGGTAAAGGAGGCATCTCTCTCTCTCTCTCTCACACACACACACACACACACACACACACACACCCTTTGTCCCAGTTTGCTACTGTAATAGACAAAGTCAGAGAAAAGTCATCGTACCTTTTTCCAGTCGATGAGAGTCTCACAAACAGTTTGTTGGTGATAGGGATGACTTTCTGGATGAAAACCTGCTGATCGTCTCTCTCTCCGAATGGACCTGAGAGCAATAAAACACACCACCCCAGCTTGGCATCATGCATACAGAACCAACAAGACCACCACGAAATACTGGTAAAACACATTCAGTGGTTCACAAACCTAGGATGCTTGAACGTTTTGAAATTGAAATTTGTACTTGATTTATCTTTTCTCTCCACTTTTGTTCCTCTTTAAGGAAGTGTACCTGCTCTTTGAACACGGTACATTAAAGATCTGGTTGCAGTTTGATCCTGGTGGTCAGTATTTAGAGTGAAAAAGTGCTCATCACCTTTCCTTCTCATCTTCCCACCTATATCATTCCCAGAGCAGTAGCTCCCGTGGCTCTCTATCTCCTCCAGGGACAGTATTTTGAAAGAAGCCAGAGGGGTAGACCCTGGCTGGGTGGAGATCATCCCTCTGAACCGGGTCACTGTCCACGTCCGAACATGGTTGTTGTCCGCACACACTGACACACACAGAAAAACACAAACAACCGCACAGGATTTCAATCACAATAGACACATAACAGAGAACACAAGCTGAACAAGAGGCGTTTAGTGCCAACAGTTGTCTCGTATAATTCTCCGCTACTTGTTATCTCACTCACCCCTCCGTCAGCAGGGAGACTGTAAAATGTTTATACCATCCTCACCTGATACCAAATGTTTCTCAGACAGCATGATCTTTGTCACCGGGCTCCTGTGGACAGTGAACGTCTGAAAGAGCTGTGGGCCCGATCCCACCGTCTCTGGATGTTGCACGATCACTCTCACTGCGCCACTGCTAGTCCCATAGGCTATCTCTATCCAGTTCCCACTCACACCTGAGAGCAGAGAGAGGGCGAGGTAGATGGAGCTACACAAATACACATAGACAGAATGTCAGGTCAGTAACTGAGGTTCATGTTACACCCAGAGCTGTCTGCTCTGTCTAGACCCAGGCAGGTGAAATGGAGAGAGGGGAAGAAGAGGAGCTGAAATAATATGAGAAGATATACAGGTATATGCAAAACGTTCATTGTTCTAAATTAAAAGATCAACAGCTGGGTGAAAAACTTCTGTTCTTACTGGTTTTAGGTGTGAGGTAGACAGACAGTGCAGTGATGGCATCATTTGAAGGGTCATGATAAAGCTCTGTCACCAGAAGATCGTTGTCCTTCATCCTCAGTGGAAACTTTTGCATGTCTGAAAATGACGGTCAAATGTTAATCCATTTAGGTTGGGGTAGAAATCTAGGTCCAGTGTCAGTCTAGACCCTGAACCCTTTTCTTGAAACATGGGCTTCCATTCAACTTCACAAACAGCCAATAAGATGCATGACCGGTAGTTTTGTGAATGTGTGTCACCATGTGATTACCTATGTAGTAGATGGAGCCATTGTTGCAGCCCAGCAGCAGAAAGGATCCTGCTGTGTCACAGCTGGTGATAGGAACCACATCTTGAACCTAATGCATACACAAAAAGGTGCACAATGAATCCAAGCATTCGGTATACAAAAACATTCCCCCTTTCTCTCTCCACCTCTTCCTGTCTCACCCAAACACTCACACAGATGCCCTCCTACCTGCCAGTGCTGTGTGACAGCGTTCCACACCCCCACCTTCCCCGTATGGCTCGTAGCCACCAGCTGGTTCCCAATGAAGAAGAGATCATCAACGGGTACACCGAGACTGAACACACCTGGGGTGGTGGGGAGAGAAAAAGTGGTATACTGTAAGCTGCCGGGACTGAAGGTGGAGTCACACAAATGGCAGGAGGTTGAAGGAATCATAAATCAATATGGTGGCGGGCATATACTACAAATTTCAAAATTTTGAGACTCTCAAGAGTTTGAGTATAGGTGAGTTAACCTTGTCATTTCATTGTCACCTGAACTGAGGAATAATCCTTTGAAATGGCCAACTTCTCTACAGTGTGTTAATGTTGTCTGACCAATTTCTTGAGTTCCTCTGTCTGAGCTACACTGATGTGAACCCACCTATCTCATTACCACTGCCTCCATCCTGGATGCTCCACAGGATGATGCTGCTTCCAGAGGCAGCGGCCACCATCTTGTCCTTGTCTCCGTGCGGGCCACCCACCACCTTGGCATTAAGCGCGATGCGTTCGATGGTCCAGTCAAGGTATGGGGAGGAAAACACCTGCTGCCATCCAGAAGATTCCTTTATCCTGTGGTGAGACCACACAGGCATTTATCTCTGCTTTCATTCTTATTCCAAGGAATAGATGACATATGAGGTTTCATGGTTTAATGTAAGGTCATCAGACTTTCATCCTACCCCAACGTGGGGAGAATGGAAAAAGTCTGTGTCCAAGCTTTTACAAGGATGTGAACCATTAGTGTTGCAGACTCGCCCTGATGTAGACCTACACGATGAAACACCTTAGCAGCTATTTGGACTTCTACTACATTTGTCCTGAATCAGTGTCACTTAGATTTTATCTTTACCTCATACTGACTTTCCTAACTTATCTTATTATACGTGGCTAAATTTTGATTTGATTTGATTTTATTTATTCTTTCAAGCATGTAAAAACAGTTGATATGACAACACACATACACATAATGCAATATCAATTTGCTTATACCTAGTACATGCTTGAATGGAGTAGGAAGAAGTCAGACTTATCCAGTCCTACCCCATGACATCATCTTACCATCATTGGTTTGCAAGCAATAAATGATTCACTTCTATTCTCTTCTACACCACACAAGTAATATATTAAAGAATTATTACA